CAATACGGTTCACTAAAGCCCAATACGGTCCATTAAAACCCAATATGTTCCATTAAAGCCCAATTGTTCATTAAAACCCAATACGGTTCATTAAACTCCAATACGTTCCATTAAAGCCCAATACGTTTCATTAAAGTCCAATTAGTCCATTAAAACCCAATACGGTCCATTAAAACTCAATACGGTTCATTAAAACCAATACGGTCCATTAAAGTCCAATACGATCCATTAAAGCCCAACCGATCCATTAAAACCCAATACGGTCCATTAAAGTTCAGCATGATCCATTAAAGCCGGATACGATCAATTAAAGCCCAATACGGTCCACTAAAACTCAATAGAATCGTTAGAGCCCAATACGATCCATTAAAGCCCAACTAACATCCGCTAAAGCCCAATAGAACCTTTAAAGCCCAATATAATCCATTAAACCCCAATATGATCTATTAAAGCCCAATCGGTCCATAAAAACTCAATATGGTACATTAAAACCCAATACGTTCCGTTAAACCACAACTAACATCCACTAAAGCTCAATACGAATCGTTAAAGCCCAATACGATCCATTAAAATCCAATACGATCCATTAAAGCCCAATAGGTCCATTAAAACCCAATACAGTCCATTAAAGCCCAATACGATCCATTAAACCACAACTAACATCCACTAAATCCCAATACGATGCGTTAAAGCCAATGGAACCGTAAAGCCTAATACAATCCATTAAAGACCAATATGATTCATTAAAGCCCAACTAACATCTAGTAAAGCCCAATAGAACCGTTAAAGCCCAATACAATCCATTAAGAAAAGAAAAGTTTGAAAAATGGGGAAAAAATGAAAGGCCGCCGGAAAGGGCCACCAAAAATCCGCCGGAAATCATTAAGTTTTTTAAAAAATCTTGAATAATTATTAGTCGCCGGAATTCCACCGGAAAAGGCCGCCAAAAATCTGCTAGAAATCATTAATTTTTTAAAAAATCTTGAAAAATTATTATCGGCGGATTACCGGCGGCCCTCCGGATTCCTCTGGAAATCCGCCGAAAAATTTTAAAAATAAATTTTAATTTTTAATTACTTTCCAGCAGATCTTAATTTTAAAAAATTAGTTAAATATCCGCCGGAAATCCGCCAGTAAGTTATTGTAATTAGATTTAAATACAAGTCTAAAATAATTAATTACGAAATCTCCGAAAATCCGCCGGAAATATTACCAGAATAATTTTACCGGCTGTTTTCCGGTGGATTTTATCCGCCGGAAATCTCGTCAGAAATACCCAGTTTTCTAGTAGTGCAAGGTGGAATTTGGCAAAATTGAAGGTATTAGGTAAAAAACTTGAATGTGTCATTGAAAGGTATAGGATTTAATCATTTTAATAAAATAAAACTTTTGATTCGACAATGCGTAACAACTTGTAATCAGTAGGGGTGGACTTGGTACGGTACCAACCAGTTATAATTGGTATCTGAAATCTTATACCATATACCAACCAATTATCCTTGGTACCGACTTTTTCTCAATTAATACATGTTGGTACCGGCTTGTACCAATTTCAAGTTACACACAAAACAAAAAAAAATCAAAATGCTCAAATAATCAAATAGAAAAGTTAAATGTAGCAACGTTTAATATTCAATATATGAAAAAGAAAAAAACTAATTCAAAAGATGGGACCGTTTCTTCATCCATGGAAGATGATTGATAAAGAATTGGATTACTTGCGTTTAGGGCATTTAAGAATTAAAATTTTTTATATCAAATTTTAAATCTCAAAATTAATATTATTCATTAATACAATTATGAATTAATTAAATTATTAAATAAGTCGGTACCACGGTTACACAACATTCAATATCGTGTATCAACCAAGTTCAAACACTTTATACGGTACAACTAGCCAATTATAATTGGTACGTTTGATACACATGTTGGCTGGTTTGGTTTTGTACAAAATTGTCACCCTTAATAATCAGGTGTCCAGTGAAATAATCACACGAGCTTCATCTCATGCATGATCTTTTCAGAATACGGATCAGGAGGACATTGTATGTCCGAGAGTGAAGCATTTTTTTGGTGGCATGAGTTGTTATGCTAATATGGTGAAGTGTAGTAGCTTATGAGTGTTAGCGTAAGGTCTATTAAGTAAGGGTATTTTAGTCTTTTTTTACTTTTTTGCATTTTCTTTAACCAAAGTAATTACATTGGGTCACTCAAATTACCTCAATTGTGCACCACTAACTATTAGCTATAAACTCGTGGATGATAGTGTTCTAAAAGGCTCGCTGCAACGACTGTCGTAACATGTCGTGGCTCAAGGCTAAAATCATGTTAAGCTTGTGTTACCCTAATCCACGATTTATGTATCGCATTTGATTTTTCTTACATTTTTAACGTCTTATTTGTTAGTTTTTAATATATAACATAATTTAAATTGTTTAATATCATTGAGTAATAGTCGAAAACATATGGTTACATATATATATATATATATATATATATATATAGGGGCCTATTCAAGGGAGAACTGAGTTGTTTGTGATAACTGTGAGAACCAATATTAACCACAAATCAATAGATAAATTAGGAAATTTATAANAAATTAGGAAATTTATAAATTTGGTAATTTTAAATTAAAATCTTAATGCAAGGATATTTTTGGTATTTTAAAACTCTCCTCTCTCCTCTCTTCTCTCTCCGGCCACCGTTCTCCGGCCTCCGGCCACCATCCTCCGGTGATACCACTGTGATACCCAAAAATATTGACTCTGTTAAAAAAAAGAATACATTGTGATACCTAATCATATATAAGATGCATAGTGATACCACTGTGTTACATCTTCGATCGACCACACAAACGACATCAATGTGATACCCAAGCACATATATGATGCATTGTGATATCATTGTAGTATCACCATAGGACGGTGGCCGGAGGACGTGGCCGGAGAGAGAAGAGAGAAGGGAGGAAAGTTTTAAAATACCAAAAATATCCTTGCAATAAAATTTTAATTCAAAATTGCCAAAATTATAAATTTCCTAATTTATCTATTGATTTATGGTTAATATTGGTTCACACAGTTACCACAAACTAATTAGTTCTTATTTGATTAAGCCCCTATATATATATATATATATATATATATATATATATATTCACGTCCTGAAAAACGTTGTGGTCTCGCCATCATACCGCACCTCACGCCATATTGACAACGGTATAAGTGAATCTTTACATGTCCCTACGATTTTGTCGGTAAAAAGATGGCATCTTTGCAAAAGGAGATGGATATCTTCGCAGAATGAGTGAAAGATATAAGATTCGACTTCACGGATAAAACGTGCAAAATTTAACCAACCGATTTATATTTTCATATTTTTGTTTCAAACGTTTTTCGTGATATAAAAACATCCCATGAAGTCGGAGACGCATCCTATACAACAAGTGACTACGCACACGAAACATGTATAAATGGAATCGATACGAAACACAAACTCAACTCGATAACGAACTTTCGGTTCCACAAAATTCATGGATAACCTTAACCGGAATAAAACAAAAACGAAAATGATGATAGAAAAACAATTAGTCTGTGAATTACAGTAGTTTCAAGATATATAATCAAACCAAAGTTACCACCATCAGAAATGGTCTTATCTAGATCATCTCTTCTGCAATCCCTTTTACCGGCAGAGCTGCTCCACCGCCGCCACAATCTGCGGTGGCTGAACGACGGTCCATTCTTCCAGTGTCCCTGCATATGGGGTTGGCACATCTTGTGAAGATAAACACACAATTGGTGCATCCAAGAAATCTTGAAAATTTTCATTGATAGCTGCTGTCAAACTGGCCCCAATTCCTCCGGTTCGCATACATTCCTCCACGATCAGCACACGATGCGTTTTTTTGACCGAATTCCCGATCATGTGGAGGTCAAACGGCTTCAAAGACCGGATATCGATAACTTCAGGATCGTAACCTTTGTTCACTAGAGTTTTGGCAGCCTGCATCACATGATACCTCATTCGCGAATACGTGAGAATGGTTACGTGTTCTCCGGGTCGGACCATTTCGGCTTCTTCGAGATTCAAAACGTATTCTTCATCGGGAATTGTTTCCTTGAGATTGTAGAGTAAAACGTGTTCGAAAAGTATCACAGGGTTGTCGCTTCGAATAGCGGCTTTCATTAATCCCTTAGCGTTATAAGGGGTCGAGCATGCGACCATCTGAATTCCGGGAATGGACTGGAAATACGATTCCAGACGTTGGGAGTGCTCGGCTCCGAGCTGCCGCCCAACGCCGCCAGGTCCCCGGATCACCACCGGAATCTTGAACTGGCCGCCGGATGTGTAGTGGAGCATACCGCAGTTGTTGGAGATTTGGTTGAAAGCAAGGAGGAGGAATCCCATGTTCATTCCTTCGATGATTGGCCGTAACCCCATCATGGCGGCTCCGATTCCCATTCCGGTGAAGGCGTTTTCGGCAATTGGGGTGTCGAGAACCCTCAGATCACCATATTTTGGGGCGAGGCCTTTGCTCACTTTGTATGATCCTCCATAGTGTCCTACATCTTCTCCGATAATGCATACACGTGAATCTCTCTCCATCTCTTCTTCAAGGCCTTCTCGAAGGGCTTCAAAGAGCAATAACTCATGCCTGCAGAATGAAGGCAATCATCATTAGCCATACGTTTGACTACGACAACTTGAAGCCTTGAGAATTCACTTACATGACACTAAGAAACTTTTTGTGCACTTACATGACACAAATCAACAGAAAATTCTTGAACTTTTAATAACCAAACCAAAATAAACGAACCCAGTATATCCCACACAAAAGTGGGGTCTCAGGTGTACAAAGACCTGACCTCCATCCGAAAGAATAAAGCGGTTGCTTCCATAAAGATCCCGACATGTATAAAACGAGAGAAAATGTGGTTATAGTGATAGTGTAGGTTGTTTAAAAAATTTCATGGTAAAGGAAAAGCAATATGAATCAATCGAAGTATACTTCTGCTCGGCCAACCATTGGTTATCCTCGGTCATTTAGCGAAATGACTTTTAACAGGGTTTTTCTTTAAAATCCATGACCTTCAGACACGCTTTGAGAATGCCTCTACCTAACAGAAGAACGCCTAAAAAACGTGTAAGAAGGTCATGGATTCAAAAGAAACCTGTCGGAAGGTCATTTAGCTAAATAAACCTAGTTGTCTCTACCACAAATGACAGTTGTTTGTTTGAGCTAGCATAAATTTCTAAAGATTTTTCCTGTTTTCATCTTCAAGTTATTAGCGAGTGTAAATCAAAAAACTGCAGCGTATAATCGCTCTTGTTGGTTCTTCTCGGAGAAACGAGGGAGATAAACTGTAACCACCAGACAAATTCTATCAATCAACCAAGAAAACTTATGAACACTAAAGTGTTGTAAAATCTCTTGGGGCAAGATTTAGAGGACCAAAGAGCAGACGCAATCAAGTAAAGGGCCGTTTACTAACACTTACCTCGGGTAAGTGTTTACCTGTATCACTTACCTTATCGATTGAGCATGGAAATGACCGATAATCTTAAGCAGTAAGAGGCATAGCAAGGACCGAGAATCTTACCCAATAAGTGAGGAAAAAGACTCTTACCCAGTAAGCGTTTAGACGCTTACCAACAATCTATTTTGATGGTTGAGAATGTTACACGATAAGGTAAGTGAGGGTGATGTCTCTTGCCGGCTGTAAGCGTTTGGTAAAAGACCCCTAATTTTGTTTTATTGCATGCCCAACATCAAAAGAACCTCATAACACATCTCAAGTTTAAGATTCTCTGAAGAACTCATAGACAAACAAAACAGCTTCAAATGGCATTATCTTTACTTTCCCAACTTTGTAACTGAAATAAATATGGTTACTACTACAAAATCGGCTTTATAAGACGTCAATTATGTTTTAAATATTCTAATAGACTGTCTTATAGGACTTAATTTTATAGGACCAAACAAGGGTCCTTTGGCTAAATGACTTCGTGACTGGAATAAATCCATGACTTTCTGACATGTTTGAAAATGTCACTTACCTAACAAAAGAATGCCACTTCCATAAGGATGCCTAAAAATCTGTCAAAACGTCATGGATTTTATAAGAACATTGTCAAGAGTTCATTTAACTAAATAACCGGAGTACCCGTCCAAACAATTTGCGTTATTATTGTAAAGGTGTTATAATAAGTTGATGGGACACTTTCACATCCTAACAAGTTTCTAGGACATTTTTTAAATAAAACGTCACATTAGTCTTTTTTGTCATTATTTGAAAAAGCGACATAAAAAGATAGGTTTATAGAACATTTTCAAAAATATCCTATAAAAAGCTATATGAACATTTTATTTCAAAATCGTCCTAAAAAGCTTGTTGGGATGCCCAACAGCGTCCTATCAACTTATTTTACACCTATTACATAGGGCGCACAATTGTTTGGTGTGTACACCTGAGTCTTCTATTAGGACATTTAGCGGCTGTTTGGTTGGTTTTCCATCAAGTTCTTTATGGATAAAGCTGATTGTGTAGATTAATATGTGTGTAAAGATTGAGAGGGTTTTTTCATAGACGGAAGGAGCATGTTCTTAATTGCACGAGGCACATTGGAAAAAACTTGGTTTTCTGCATAAAGCTAAAAGCTCCCCTAAAAGCCACTTTCTATATCATTAAGTCACTACCAAACAGTCATGTGTAGATGACCGAATAAGCGGTGAGTCCCATTAAGCTTATTAAGCTGTTAACAAGCAGACCCTTAGACATATTTGAAATCCTATAAATCCAATTTTGTTGCACCCAGTATAGAGTTTAAATGCATCTTCGAAATATATTCCAAGTTGGTTTCAAGGCATCAATGCAATCAACAAACTGAAAAGACTTTAAAGAAAAGGCAGAGATACATAAGATTCTACAAAGTATACATACATATATATATATATATATATGTATGTATATATGAGAGGAACTATGCATACCCAGATTTAGATGCAGCAGTAGATGCTGCTGAAGTATCAGGCTTTGTCTGCAATATATGAACAATTCAAAAATTCATTACATAGAACACACAGACATACATATATCTATATATATACATCTATATATATATATATATATATATAAAGAGATACTTACTGCAACAGCATTTGTAACCAATTGATCAGCTCTACCTCCAATCTTGTTCAAACCAGGGTTCATCTTAGCAGCATCAGATCTAACCACAAGAAAACTTACTTTCCTCTCTGAAATTCAAACAACAAACTATACAAATCAGAAGTAATCACAATGCAATAAACAAAAATTCACAACAAATCACTGAACCACAACCAAAAAATCACTGGTTTACAAATGAGTAAACAACCAGAAAGTGCTGAATATCAGCAGAATCGATCAATGAAACTACAAATCACCCGAAAATGAACACGCCATTATTGAATCGAAATAAATTACGATACCTGAAAGGGATCTACGAGAAGAAGGATGGAATTTGTTGGAGTCAAATGAGGCGGAGGACGAGAGGGTAGTAGCAGTTCCAACTCCTTGAAAAATCGACGCCATTTTCTTGAAATTGAAGAAGAAGGGTGGATTGTGAAAGATCAAAAGATGGGGGAATTCGAAATGAAACCCAAATGTGAGTTTATAGGATTTGGGTATGGATTTGTTTAAGAGGGGTAGCGGGGCGGAGAGATTGAGGAAGGTTTTCTGGTTTTTGTGTGTGTTGGTCGATTTGATAGAGAAGGGCGTTGAGTGTGGCAAAGAGTTTGGACTTCGATCTTAACGCCGATAATTCAAGTCCAGCTTTACAACTACTTCTTTCAATGGGTACCCCACCCAGACAATTTTTTTAGGTATATAACTTATATTAGATTTTAAATTAAATCTATAACCCTTTTTACACGTGTAAATTCGTTTTTTATATAACGAAAAAGTCATAAATTTAATTAAAATCTTATTTAGGTTATCTACCTAAATGAATTCATCCACCAATCATTATTAAGGGTGAGCAGCGGAATCGGGTATCCACTTGTTGAATCGGAACTGTCTTGGAACCGCCGGTTCGGAACTGATATGAGTGGTTTTGGTTCCTAAAATACGAAACCGATTGAGAATGGTTTCGGTTCTGATTCTCAATTTTTTGGAATCGTTACCCGTTGGAATCGGTTCCGGAACCGGGTACCCAGAACGGACGGGTACCCGGTATTTTTCAATTAAAAAAATAATTAATTTTCTTTTAATATTAAATTTTAATTAAGTCCAAAACTTAGAACTCTATATTAGATTTTTGGTCCCGCCTCTACGCCTTATACTATCGGGCCTGAGGCCTCTCATCGTGAGAATTTGAAACGAGATTCAGAATCATCGCAGTCACGAGATAAAATGATTCGTATTTTTTTAAATTGTGTGTTTAATTGGATATGTAGTATATAATCGTTAAACTTTGAACATTTACAATTATAGTATGTAATCATTAAACTTTCAACATTTCATGTTAGTCTATTATGATTTGTAATCGTTAAACAATATTTGTAACCATTATTCGTATAATTTGTATTTTTGTTTTATTTATTTAATGTTTTGGTAATGTTTTATTTTTTATTTCTAAATAACAAAATTTTAATATTTTAGGAAGCGGGTACCCGGAACCGGTTGCCGGCGGTTCCGGTTCCGGTTCCAAAAATTCAAGAACTGCTCTAACCGGTTCCGGTTCCGGTTCCAGTTCCAATATCTCAAGAACCGCCAGTTTCGGTTCCTGTCAAATAGGGCGGGTACCCGCTTATGCTCACCCCTAATCATTATATTTTAAAAAGACAAAGATTCCCCTTAATTAAGACGTACATTGTTGTTTGTTTACGGTTTATAGGTTGGACGAAGAATCGTGTGAGAATAAGAGTTAAGATGAGAAGCGTAATAAGGGGTTTGGACTCTTGATCAATTTTAATTTCACCCTCATCCCATGAATTACGTTTCTCACGAGAATCAATCTGGTGCATCTCATTACTGTCTTGATCCAAGGGTAAAGATCTGTTCTTACCCTTGTTACCATAACTTTCATTTTCACAGTAATCAAACCCTTATAGGTTATTGGTGCATAACCATTAGGTTGTAAACGTTAAATAACCCATCAAATCATTTTGGCCTATAAAAGTCACGTTTAAAAGATGTTTAAGATGTGCTTGATACATGGAACAAGGTTGGATAGAACGGACTCAAAACTTGATGGTGGCTAGAGATGCATAAGGCTTAGGGTTTTTTTCGGATTTGGGTACGAACATTTGAAGCCTGTTTTTGTATAAGCAAAAGAAGCCTACGCTTTTTTGGGGTTGGGTCGGGCCATGGATTGAAAAGAGTGTCCGATTTGACTTTTTCAGACCAGGGTTTACCCAAGTCTTAAAAAAGTTAGTTTGATCGGGCTTTGAAGGTCAGACCAAAGTTTCGGTGTTTTTATGCATCTCTAGTTTTGCTCAGACATTAGATTGAGAGTCTAGCACAAGACATGACCAAAACAAAGATCAAGAAAATGACAGAAGATTAATAAATCATCTATCAAATTAAAACCCTAAAACTTTGGACATTTTTAGTCACCTGCCTACCTCACATTCGTCCGTCGAGTCTCGACGATGTACCGATCGCACCCTTAATAAACCTAACCAACTCAGCTCTTATTTTATTGGGTTGGATTGGGTTGGATTTGGTTGAACTGGGCTTTTGTACATATTTTTATAAATATTGTTAAATGAAAACCTAAAAAACAACAAAATTAAGATTGATGGATTTATATGATAGTAAAAAACTAAGTTTCAAATATTAGTTATAAAGGAGATCATCCTCGCCATAAGATCGTTGGATTTATATCATATTTTCATTCTTTTGACGAGAATTTTTAAATAAAACCAAACTTGACCGTTAAAAATATAAAAGAATTCGATTTAAACTGGTTAAAAATAGGATCAATTACGAAAAAGTTAGGATATATGACCAAGGAGCAGCCCTTTTTAGGGCTAGTTATAACACATAATGCACTATTGTTGGCTTTGGTTACCACTAGGGTTGTTATTCAGTTGGTCAAATTGGCTTTTGAGTCATCGGGTCGAATTAGCTTGGTTTTTAACTTTTTTCAAACAACCCGATAACCAAACCAGACATGATCCCCAATCGGCCTGTTTTAACTTAACCAACTTTTAACATCTTGTTTTATATATAAACGTGGATCAAAAAATAATGATCAAAACTAAAACCTTAAAGATATAAAAAACTTTAAGGGCAATTTTTAAGGGTTTCATATAAGAATTAACGGGAACATTGGAATGGCATGACCCTTTCTGTTGTGGGTAGAGTTTCTCCTATATTTTCGATACTTGAGATTTTGAGATCTTTGTCAAACATGTCGTAGCACTCTTTATGTTGGAAAAATAAAAGCCTATAACCGAGGCTCAATGCTACCTTTTTTGGTATTTTGAACACTACCCGAGTTTGGCTCTTGCTAGCCACTAAATTAGCGGCAGACCTATTAGGAGTTGAGTAGTTTTTGTGCACCTGCTCACTCGATTATTGCAAAAGGAAAAATTTAGTTGTCTAAAAGGTGCAGTTCACCCCCTTGAATTTGAAGGGTGCCCTTAAATACTTTGAGACCAAATCTAACTGAAATTATACAGGGTTGGAAGCTTGAATTATAACTTTATTTGAAGGTTTAAGGTCAATTCTATTTGAAAAAAAATGTATTTTATTTCTTAAATCGACACAATTGACTTTTCTCTAGGTCAAGCCCCATTGACTCCCCCCCTCCCGGTCGAATCATAATTTTATGAATCTTTGATCCACTTTAAAGACGCATCCGCTCAAAGAAATTTCTGAATCTGCCACTGCACTAAACACGTAACTATCCCTGCCATTTCATTGTGTCCCAAACATGATATTGTCCCCTAACTAGTTAAGACTAAGGGGCCGTTTACTAAATGCTTACTTGGTAAGAGTCTTACCTGGTAAGTGAAAATGACGACTCTTATCCAGGTAAGCGTTTACCCGGTAAATTGTTGCATTCAATACGTTTTGATGTACTAAAATCTTACGCATCAAAATAAATTATAGTGTTGACTCGTATCGATAACCACTTACCGGGTAAGCATTTGGGTAAACAACCCCTAAAACTGGGGAAAAAACCACAGAAAGATTACCAAACAAGATATCTTGAAGACAAATCTTTAACAATTTTTGTCTGAACTAATATAAGACGAGAATAAATTAGATTCCTTACATCGACGATAAATAAAACACAACACGAGTTTAAAGAAAAATAGTAGATTTTTTGAAGAATGTATTTAATCATATATAAAGGAAGTTCTCAGAATTTATAAAAATCTTCTGAGATTAAAATCATACCTAAATTATTAATAATGAAAATGATTGTGAACGAAAATAGAAATAAATTTTCGTTCCTTCAGTTTAATCTGGATCGAAAATTTAGCCTTCTATAAAAATGAGTCGATTATATTATATAAAATCAAACACTGTCTTTTATTTCCATTTCTGTTAATTATTGTTTACACTATCACGAGATTTGGGCTAATTTAAGACGATTGAGGCCTTTAACAATAGATTTGGGCTCAAAGTGGGCCCAAATATCTCATTCCTTTTCCCTTTTAGAGCACTGGTCGTGGGTTAATAGTTTGGTCTAATGGTATATGGATTATAGTAGAGTTTTTATTTTAAGAAGTTAAGGATTTAAATCTCGTCAAAAGCGAGAACAGTGTATGAGTTCATTTGTTGTATGTATAAATTATATACTTAAAAAAACAATTTGAAGTTGATTCATCGAAAGGATTGAGATTCTCTACAAAACATTCAATTAAAAAAATTAACGAAATTTGCCTGATGTAGAGGCAATCAAGAAAGACGCATGAGTAAATATATAACCTACAGAAAAATGGGCTAATCCAATCAATCCACTCTATATATTTTGCTTCATGCAGGGGCCAATAACCCAACTCAGTTACAACTAGTGATGGCCAAATCGGTCCGGCCTGACCCGAGACCGTTGGAGGACCGGTTATGGGACCAAAAACCAAGACCGGTTGGGGGTTTTTGGTAGTTTCGTGGGACCGGGACCGACCGAGACCGGTTATGGGATCGGCTATAGACCGGCCCGGCCCGACCCGAAAATTCAAATAATTTTATAAATAAATGTATTTTCAAATAATTTTATAAATAAATGTATTTTCAAATAATTTTATAATGTATTTTTATAAAGGGGGTTGATATCCCCACCCCCTTACATCACTTTTCACCCCCTCCTCCTCACACCAACCCTCACTCACACCCTCACAACATTTCCTCACTCTCACCCTCACATACTCACCCCCCTACACAATCACATCCCCCTCACATGCATCTATAGGAGGGGGTGGAGTTAGAAAAACCCTTTTATAAAACAATGTAATTTTAATTATATTAAAATACATTTTTAAAGTGTATTTGAGTGACCAAATTATGAATTTTATAATGTATTAGAAATATATATCATTAAAAAATAAAAATAAATCTTATTTTTTAATGCCGGGACCGGTTGGGACCGGAACCAGCGGCCCATAATTGGTTATGAAGAGCCTTGACCGGTCTTACCATTTTCGACCAAGACCGATTATGAGAAAGTTTGAGACCGATTAGGCTCGGCCTGGCCCAAGACCGGTTTTTAGCCA